GATAAATAGCAGCCATGAGCAATGCCACCACGAACACCCGCATCACGTCTACCGCTGCCATGACCACGTGCGGATTGCAATACCTTGTTTTTACTTTCACTCTCATCCCCAAGTCCAATATCATTATCAATATAGTCAGTCAATAGATCTACACGTTCGGGTCTCAGGAATTGCCTACGTCTTTTACGATCCAGCAGGCCAGCATTATTATCAACATCAGAATTATTGTCAGAATCTACTGCAGACACAGGGCTATCGTGTTCACATTGGGCTTGTTCATCATTTTTGAACAGCAAATCGTAAAGATAGGTTGCCAGGCAACTAAACATACGCCCACAGCAGCTAAATCGTCCGAGCGGTGGACAGGAGTTGTCGTATATTTGTTCTTTTGTAGGTAATTAGGGGGCATTTAATAGACAATTTCATACAGATGACATTATAATTTTTGTCGTTTGAGGGTTCATAAGGTTCTAAAAACTAAAACAAGGGCTGTAACTCAGGAAGTAATCTATAGAAATTGTTGAAATTCGACAGACTTTTTCGTTTTACTAATACAAATAATACATATCAATTTCATACAGATCGGATGATAACTTTTGTCGTTCGAACGTTCAGAACTTTCAGCAAAGTAAAACAAGGGCCATAACTCTAGAAGTAATTGACAGAAATTGCTGACATTCAACAGGCTTCTTCATTTCACTAATTTAAATGATGCATATGAATTTCATACAGATTGGGTGAAAACTTTTGTCGTTCAAGCGTTCACAAGATTCAACAATGTGAAACAAGGGCCATAACTCTAGATGTAATTAACGGAAATTTTCTGAACCTCAATAGGCTTGTTCGTTTTCCTAATTTAAATGATACCTATAAATTTCATACAGATCGGATAATAACTTTTGTCGTTAAAGCATTCACAAGGTACAACAAAGTGAAAAACGGTGTAATTAACGGAAATTGTTGAAATTCAATAGGCATCTTCGTTGCACTAATTTAAATGATGCAATCAAATTAAAACAGATCGGATGATAACTGTTGTCATTAGAGCGTTCAAAAGATTCAAGAAAATGAAACAAGGGCCATAACTCTAGATGTAATTAACGGAAATTGCTGAAATTTAATAAGCTTCTTTGCTTTACTAATCTAAATGATGCATATAAATTTCATACAGATCGGATAATAACGTTTGTCGTTAGAGCATTCACAAGGTACAACAAAGTGAAACAAGGGCCATAACTCACGGCTTAATTAACGGAAATTGCTCAAATTAAGCCGTGAGTTATCGCCGTTGTTTCACTTTGTTGTACCTTGTGAAATTAACGGAAGTTATTGAATTTAAATAGGCTTCTTCATCTCACTAATGCAAACAACATATATCAATTTCAAAACAATCAGATGATAAATGTAGTCTGTAGAGTGTTCACAAGAAATTGTGGACGACGGACGGACGGATGGACCGATGGACGGACAGACGGGGGCGACGGCAATATACGACCACATTTCCATGTGGGCGTATAAAAACTAAATAGTGTACTAGTCATATACATCTGTCTATACTTGACAAACGAATTGAGCGATATTTCAAAAAGACAAAAAACAAATTGTATGTGAGCGTAAGGTCACTATTTTAGCATACTCCCCGCAGTGTTTCGTTTGATTAGACCTAATCCCACTCAACACGGCCGTAATGAAAGCAAATTTCTGTTCCAAATTATGATTGATCAATAGTCCGATTAACAACCAATACCTAACTGCGTAACAATATCATTCTGGTTTAAACAGAGTTTCAAATATATTAACATAACGTTACGTCATGATTTACAAAATTTATTACGTCCAATTAACCAGTGCATAGCAGAATATTGCAGAAAAACTAATTGCGTGACAAACAAGGCTATCAACATGGCTACAATGTAAACAATACTGTTTGGAGATGAACAATACTTTCACCGTTTTAAATACCTTAAATCACTGTCCAAAGTTTTAGGAAAACCCCAGATTAAACCAAAGACTTTAATTGAACGGGTAGAATAGACACCCTCCCTCAAAAACGTAAGTATCAGAAGTCAATCCAGCAATGGTCAGAGCGGCATTTCTCTGGCTATTGCTTCAGGAATACGCTATTATAGTTTAACAAACCAAGCATCAAATTGAAGCTTACATTCGGAAGAACATTTCTATGGGACAAATTGTGATTATATGAAATAGATTTTATTTCAGACCAGTTTACATAACGATCTATGCAGGAATTTTGGCACTATTATTGGCACCATGAAAAACATTCCTGTATTTTTATTGAGAACTAGCATAGCTATTTGCATGCCAAAAATTATTTAATTCGGATCAGGCAAGACTGAGAATTTTTTAGATTTAGGACGAAATTTGATCATTTTTAAGCTGATTTTTAAATTCAATATCTTTAAACACGAGATATGTGTGCCCAAACTATGACTTGAATCACAGCTTTGTATGTCTATTTAAAGATCATACCAAATTTATATGGAACAGAGTTTGAAAAATAAAATTAAAGTAATTGCAAAGTTACCATAGGTTAGACATGGCAAAGCCCTTAAGGCTTCAGCATTTTCTGATACTGGCCGTAGTAGAAAAACCTTAACTTCGATCCACTGATGAACTGTATCTTATTATGAAGACAGTAATTTATTCAGAAATATTACTGTCATAAACTTGAAGCTGTATTAACAAGCCAACAGTGAGGCTGTTGTCCCCCGCCGAAATCCCCAAATAAATAGATGACACATATTAATTAATAGCACATCTATTTTTTTCAAAAGTATCGAGCAATCAAACTGATGATCAACTATACACTAAGTTTCATCACTCTCTATCAGATAGAATCAAAGTTATCTTGTCCCAAAGCATCGACCAAGGAAATTGCTTATCTTTAGCTCGATATTTTTATCATTGAACTCAGTCAAGGCGAACATCTACATCAAGTTTAAACATTCTACCTCAATTAGAAGCAGAGTTGTTATGTTCCAAAGTCTTGACCAATCAGAATGCTTATTGCTCCTCAGCCTAAGCAGACAATTCTCATCATCAAACTTAGTCAAGGTATTGATGTAATGAAACTATTCACCAAGTTTCATCACTCTCACTTAATTAGAATTAAAGTTTTTGTGTCCCAAAGAATCAACCAATCAAATTGCTTATCTCTACTTACCATAAGCAGAAAATGCTCATCTTTGCACTCTATCAAGGCATTGACCACATAAACATCTACACCAAGTTTGAACATTCTAGCTCAATTAGAGAGAGAGAGAGAGAGAAATGGGGTTTAACATATGGTTTAATTTTATTTCAATAATTCGAATGCGCGTAGGGGTCTTTAGCAGTGGGAGGAAACCGGAGGACCCAGAGAAAACCCATGAGGTTGGACAGGCGACCCTACTCATTGTCACGTACAACCGGGGATTCGAAGCTCAATTAGAAGGAAAGTTAATGTGTTCCAAAGTCTCGGCCAATCAAATTGCTAATCGCTCTGCTTCCTCTCGAGCAGAAAATGCTCAATATCGAACTTAGTCAAGGTATTGATGTAATGAAACTATACACCAAGTTTCATCACTCTCACTTAATTGGAACTAAAGTTATCGTGTCACAAAGCATCAACCAATCAAATTACTTATCTCTACTGACCCTAAGCAGAACATGCTCATCTTCACACTCCATCAAGGCATTGACCTAATAAACACCTACACCAAGTTTGAACATTTTAGCTCAATTAGAAGGAGATTTATTGTGTTCCAAAATCTTGGCCAATCAAATTGCTTATCGCTCTGCTTACCCTGAGCAGAAAATGTTCATTATCGAACTTAGTCAAGGTATTGATGTAATGAAATTATACACCAAGTTTCATCACTTTCACTTAATTAGAACTAAAGTTATTGTGTCCCAAAGCATCAATCAATCAAATTGCTTACTCTAAGCAGAAAATGCTCATCTTCGAACTCCCATCAAGGTATTGACCTAATAAACACCTACACCAAGTTTGAACATTCTAGGTCAATTAGAAGGACAGTTATTGTGTCCCAAAAAGTGTGACGGACAGACAGACGGACCGACGGACAAACCCATTTTAATAGTCCCCTGCTTTCTTCGAAAGGCGGGGGACAAATATGGAAAATTTTCACAAAGGAGCATCAATTTACTGATATTTTTTGTGGTAATCATATATATTAGCCTATTCAGAATACAACATTCTACATAACAAATTATTAAGAATTATTTATGTTGAAGTCTGGTTATATTCAAGGGAATGGGAGCTTATAATAACCCTATTTCCTACCAGACTGGTTCGTTTCAAAATGGATTAAGAACTAGAAATGACTATGTAAAGTTTATTGAAACCATACCATTCTTTCTGGCAAGGCTTTCCTGAACTCATCACTGCTACATCGTTGTTAGAGTTATAAGAATTGTTTAGATACAGATCGAGAATTCTAATCGGACTGATGAATCACCCATTGACAAAAGAAAAATGGCCCCCATAACATCACATAGCTGGTAGATATTTTACATTAGCTCCTTTCCCGTGGTGAATGCAGGTATACTGTATTTCTTGATTTGCGCAAGAGCGGAGAAGGCACACTAACCGCTATAGTTGGTGACCGATAGATAAACAAATCCTGAGAGAAGTAACTGCATCCCCCAATGTATACTGAGTATGCAATGGGGAAATGCTCATATCGTTATGCACCCACCATAGCGACCTATAAGGAATTTCCAAAGAAAGATACCAGCGCGCATCGCATGTGTACCAAATAAGGTCAATATTCGCATTTTGTGAAATGAAATAGGGCTAAATGTCTCTGGATACTTTTCATAGACTTGATGCCCTTTCACTTGACTCGGGGGTGGGGGGTGGGTACTTGCATTGAAGTCAAAGGAGCCTTTTTGAAAGTCTCAAGGGCCATTCAAACGACAGTTCAAGGGGGCCATATCAAGTATTCTCACCACATAACGCGTTTTTTTCAACCTACCAGCAACTACTCTCTCTATAGCTTGTTCAAAATGTACATGACCTATGGATGTATTCAGATCTCTAGCAGCAATCAAGGCAGCTTCATTACATACATTTGCAATATCAGCACCTAAAAATATAGAGAATTAAAAGTAAACAAATATTAAATTAGTATGTTCTTTCACTATATTTTACAATACAAATGAAATGAAATGAAATGGGGTTTAACGTCCTACTGTTCTGCTCCTAAACTGGGCTAATGAAGACGGGCATATGCCATACAGTGTGCTATGAAGGAAATTTTGCCCGGGCAGCGGCACTATCACCTACTCTTATATCGAATTCCAACTGCCAAGTGATCTTTTATGTGCATTCCAATGTATACACGGGACCTCTGTCTTTTCGTATAATCCGAAGGACTAGACAGCTGTCCTTGTCAGGCCCTCCGTCCTGCATCACTGACAAGGGGGAACCACGCCGGAAAATCTGGATGCACTTTCTCGGCCAATGCAGGGATCGAACACCCGACATCCAGGCTAGCGAGCCAGCATCTTACCCACTTAGCCACGTGATCCCCTTTTTACAATACACATACATGGGAAGATAAGTAAGGTGTGATCTGTACATTTGCCAAATATAAATATAGCTCTATAGGTTGATCTGACGAACATGGTCTATTTCTTAGAAATAACTGAACACAGATATTTTCTTTGAAAAATCTCTTGGTAAGGTGAGTTAATTAAACAGGAGGGATGAGATATTGACTGAAAGGTGAATGTGTTTTTCTGTATATTTTGCAAGAGATAGATGGTAAACAGGGGAAATCTACATGTCTTATCACTGTAACATTGGTACCGTTTAATCTACGTAAATAGCGTTAATTTCTACTCTGTGTCGAATTATTCATAAATATTGTTGAATTTCGGCGAATAGTGCTCAATTTGTACTTCTATCGAATTTCAATCTCACTGTTTAATTTTGATTACCAAGCTTCTAATTAATTAGTGTTTAGTTTCTTGACACGTGTTGAATTATAATCGTCCCGTCTAATTAGCATGACTGTTCAATAATTAGTTGGACTGTTCAATTTCCCGAGCCATGATTAAAATCAGTCAAGGTGTCCAATTACGCAAGGTGTTCAATTTTGTTGTCAAACATCTAATTTCACGTGCAATGTTCAGATATTATAATGTGTTTAGTTGTTGTTCATCGTTCAGTTTTGCCGCCGAATGTCTATTTTGCCGCCGAATGTTGGAATACTGTAATAAGTGTTAGTTTTGGTACTGACCTGTTGCGATATGATGAAATATTATTTTTCAGGATTCATACAACGGCAGGTATCAGTACAAACGTTGCGAAGGTTTGACGAAACACGATTATCGTTGCGTTTTTTGTTGAAAATTGCCACGATAACGCCACGATAAATAATTTGGTGTAGCAGTCGCTATCGTGTGACACAACAGGCCTCGGTGTAATTTTACAGGCAAAATTAATGGTATTTATTTGGCATAAACAATCGATATCAAAACGATATACTGCCACGATGTTATGAATGTTGAATATTTTCATTAATAATATGGATGCGTTAGTCCACGTTGTAGAGTGAGAACACGCGTGCTCACATATTCTGTATGATATATATAATGCTGTTATATTTCCAACCAGTCATGTAAAGCTGCATGTCTAGAACATTTTAAAGGACACGCATGCATAAGACTATATACATGTATTACACAGTTTAGATATTTATGCTGTGTTCAAATTGTTTTGCATATTTACTGTATTAAGAGTGTATAGTTAAGAATTACTCTTAAATTACGGCAAAGATAAACTTTTAAATTGCAAACTATAAAGGTATGTTGGTTATCGGTCTTGCAAATAGAAATAAGACATAAATAGAACTTGCAACGGGATTCGAAAGCGCTTTCAAGTCAGACGTAAGCTCGTACTTACCGTAAAAATGAACTGAACGCAACACAAGTCTGCGGTGTAAGAGAATATTAGTTAATTATAACCGCTATCAAATCCACACAAAAATCCAAGGCACTCGTTTTATTTTAGAAAAGAATAACTGTATTTCGACCGAAGAGCTTATTCCACATTAATGATGAACTGTCAACTTGTTATGTAGTTATTCACGTGCAGATTGGTTTGAATAACAGAAATGTCCCGTGTATAAAAGATCAAAGAATAAAATTGCACATAGCCACTTTGTTTATCTAAAAGGGGCTCTGGCGCACTTTAAGGAATTATTTTTGACCCAATATTAACCATCGCCAATTTTTTTTAAATCATGGGATAAAGTCAATCAACAAACAATACGGGTCAACTTTATTACAAAAACATTAGTGAACTTATCATTTTGTCTAAAATCATAACGCTAATCAACAAACAATACTATTCTTCTTTATTACAAAAACATCGGTGAACTAATCTCTGTCGTGATGGCGAGTCAAGCTAGTTGATTAATAGGTAAATAAAATAATATAAACAACCAATGAGTAAAACTGATTTATTCCAATCAATTTATATACGAGTCAAGTATTACCTTAACCGTGTACGAGTTTGCTTCTGAACGGGTTAACGGACACCAGTACAACTTGTAAATTCCAAATACAAACTGCTTACCGTATTCATGCCATATACACTAATATCCTAATTAAAAAAAAAGTTCTGTTTCCAATAATTATCACAGACACAAATATTAATTTTGATTGCTTTATCCATCAACACACAGAGTGACAGAGTAAACACATCTAACAACCAGATCTTATGAATTCGGGCCTCTTCAATAGTTATAAAGCACATCAAAGAGTGTAGAATAAATTGCCTTTATTAGTTGTTAAAGGGGCGTGGGGCTATTTAAGGAATGAAGTTTGTGCACAATACAATGAAATAATTACCACCGGTGTAAGGAATTATTTTGACAGAATATGTCAACTGCAAATATACTATTCAAAAAAAGTAGGGGATATTTGATTTTGGGGGCATAATACTAAAATATGCAAATGACTACGAAAAAAGTCACTATAGAACCTAACAGAAGAAACATTTCCAGTTACATGTGACGCCCAAACGCACCAATAGCTACCGCATGGAATGCAGGTGATGCTTGGGATCATCATGGGGGTCCAACCCAAGATTTGCACGACTCTGACTTTGAATGTTACAGTCATTGTGGCATTGAATTCCAGGGTGGAAACATCAGTTTAATTGTTTTAGTGACCAGAAAACAAATTTTGATATGTGTCGGCTTACCCAAAATGAAAGGTTACGTGCCCTTGGCATGCTACAGATCGGCACAACACAGGCGGTTGTGGCGCGGACGATGAATGTTTCTCAGTCTGTCATAAGCAGGCTATGGTCCAGATACCGTGATACACAATCTGTACAGGACAGACCACGCTCAGGTCGACCAAGGGCGACAACTCAAGCCCAGGATCGATTTATCCGTACCTTGGCCTTGAGAAATCGTGTCATCACAGCAAATCAGATCAGCGCTCGTCTTCAAACAGACACTGGTGTGAGAGTGAGTGGCCAGACGATTCGGAATCGACTGCATAGGGGTCACCTTCGCGCCCGACGTCCTCGCGTGATCCCTTGTTTGAGAGATCATCACATTCAGGCAAGACGTCGTTGGTGTAGGGATCGTCAACACTGGGATAATCGACGCTGGAGCAATGTGATGTTTTCAGATGAGTCAAGGTTCACTGTTGATTTTTTGGACAGACGTAGGAGGGTGTGGCGTCGTCGAAACGAGCGCTTCCAAGACGTTAACGTCATCAGACATGATCGATTTGGGGGTGGTTCTGTTATGGTGTGGGGAGGCATCACTGTTGCTGGAAGAACGGCTTTACATGTTGTTGCAGGGCGTGTTACAGGCCAGTACTACCGGGACAACATCTTGGCAGTCCATGTTGTGCCGTTCGCACGACGTCATGGCCGCCGTTTCATCTTCCAGGATGACAACGCAAGATGTCACAGGGCCAGGATCGTTACAGGTTACCTCCAACAACAGAACATCACCACATTACCTTGGCCAGCACTGAGTCCCGACCTCTCCCCCATCGAGCATGTCTGGGACATGCTTGGACAGAGGTTACGTCAACGTCAACAACGTCCTGCCAATGTCCAAGAACTTGCTGCTGTGTTGCAACAGGAATGGGACAATCTGGACTAAAATGACCTTAGACGTCTCATTAGGAGTATGCCACGTCGGATCAATGCTTGTTTGGCAAACAGAGGAGGATTTACCCGTTACTGACTTGGTTGTGATGCTGTGGTAACTTTGCTGTTTGACCCCGGGTATCATTTTACCCTTATAATGGTCAGTCTGTGCCTTACTTAGTCTAACGATCATTTGGAATAAATCGATGAATGTGAACTTCATTTCATTTTGTCATTTGTTTCTTCGTCAGTTTCATTAGGTGACTTTAATAACACTTAAAAATCAAATATCCCCTACTTTTTTTGAATAGTATATGATGACTAAATATCAGTTTGTTCAGAAGACGCTCTGCATGCTCGAACTTTCAAGTCTGTACCGATTTAAAAAAATTAAACAATCCCACATTCCTAAAAACAGGAGTTTTACCGTAACACAGTAATCACAATTACTCGTTACAAATTGGTATTACATGTAACTGGTGGAGTGGGGGTCCGGCCAAATTGCGACGAATAACTTCTTAGTTAGTCATATTGTAAGTGTAACTGTGTTTTCTATATTTTGACATTCTGCTAATTGAGAAACCATTTGAGTAATAAATACAGGTTATTGAATGGATGTAAAATCACAAATACATCGGCATCTCTTTTCAAAATTTGTAATTATTACTACTGACAATTAACAATAAAAGTCATATTGTCCACACGACTACAGGAAGGTAACAGTTTGTTGTTAAAGGGGCGTCTACGTTCTGTCAATCGGTTACTTTTGATGTTACATGTCAATTCTCATTATTGAACTTTGATTGACAGTATGCATCCACCAGACTCTTTGGTGCCGAAATGAAAAAAGTCAGCATGGTATTATCGGACTGATACATGAACATGGTATTCAGCAATCGTTCAAGCAGAAAATGAACCAAGAATGTTTTACCATGTTAGCCATTTTCTAACATTTCTTTCAAG